ACACTGAAAATCTTCTCCCTTTTTGAAATTCCTTTTTTTCTCGATCCTCTAGGCTTTTGCCAGGTTTTCTCCAATAAAGTCAAAGTACTAAGCTCCTTTTTATTAATATTAGTTGGTGAATCACTAACACTGTGTCAGAAACGTTCAAGACCCAAATGTTAAGTTAATGTACACAGAGCATACAAAGCAAAACCAATAAAAATATTCCTACTCTGGAACAGAGAGATAATATCATAGACAATAGTTCTTGGATCATAATGAAAAAAGTTAAGAGACTTGGGAAACATCCAACTCTTCTTGGTAAGAACTGGAGGCTCTTTAAATTATTCATAGCTAAGGCCTAGGCTAAATAATTGATGTAATAGAGTCAAACAAACATGTAAAAAAAAAATGGCACATAGACAACTGGTAGAGATCCTGAATTCATTCAGCAAGGAGAAAAACATCTACATCATAATTAGAGACAATTTAATGATATCATTACACTTGGGAAGAAAACACATCCACACTTTATGGCTGACCTGCTTGCCCCCACGTAAACAACCAGGGAATTGCTGCAAGGAGTGTGGAAACTTCCTCTGGATGCTCACACAAAGGTTATCTCTGGTGGGGCTGGGAGTGTTTGAATTCAGGGAGTGAAAGGTGTCACTCAGGTCAAAGATTCCACCACACTGAGAGGCCTAAGCAGGAACCTACAGAACTGCAGCAGAGATGGTCCTGTTTTCAGAAGGTCTTAGGGACAAAGACGGAACCAGCTTTGGTGGTCCATGAAATGCAGAGCTGAGAGAGAAGAACAAGAGCTGGAGAGACAGGACTCACAAATGGAAAGCACACAATGCTGGTACTTTATGAAGTAATGGCTTAGGGGGAACTCAAGCCTTTTAATCAAGTATCTCTTGGAGCATTTTTCATCCCTGAAGATGTCATTCTCTTTCCCTTCATCTTCTACTCTTTGCCAGTGCTCAACAGTGTGACATCATCTGCACCAGTACTGACACCAAGTGCCAGAATTACAGATGTTCCTACACATGCAGCATGAAAACATTCCCAAGGACCACATCCAACTGGACTGTGTCCCAGGGCTGTGCTGGGCAGGTAATTCATCCCCAGCACAAAGCTTGATGCTGAAGGAAGGACTGAAATGTTCTCCAGGGCACATTATCAGTACCTTATTTGTAATTTTGTATGCAAGAAAGTAGCTCAAAAACTAAGCATCCAATTACAGGGCGCCGCCTGAAGAGTTTTGAAAATATTCACAAAAACAATATATTACAACATAACTGTTATATAAAAGAGTTATTCTTAATTAGGAAGTGATCACTTACACAGTGACCTTAACTTTAAAGTCCCCAGGGATCTTAGTTTTATGTGGACTTCCCACCAGTTACAGGTGGAGTGACTGTAAGAGGTATAGACTAGAAAATACTGTGAATGTCAAATTTTATTTAAACTAACAGGAATCTCAGAGCACAGCTAACTGTTACATCATTAAAGTCTACAAGGATGATGTGAATGGCTCTCTGGCCAGGTTTTATGTCATCCTGAAGTCCCATCTCTCCAGAGGGACCATTTCACAACAGTGCTGACATCAGAAGAATTTCAGTCCCAAAATTAAAGTGTTTAAGTCTTTTTTTTTTTTTTTTTTGACTACAGCTTCATTCTGTAATCAAATATCATGTGTGTTCAGCACAGTCAATAGACAAAAATGTAAATTACTTCTCCACAAGAAAAGCAGCACTGAAAGGGAATTAGATGTTCCTGGAACCTGCATAAACCTTTAACAGAGTGAGTCAAAATACCTACTTAAATATAGAAAAGAAGCCAATAAAAAGCTAAATGTCGAAAATTATTTAGAGATGAGAAAAAACCCCATCATCATCTTCTCCCACTCCAATTTACTCATGTGTGCTGCTCAAAGGGAGCTTTTTTATGAGATATTTTCAGTGTTCCAAGGTTGCTTCCTCTGAGCATTGTTAGCATGGCCACTGCTCTGCCTGGGTCATGCTTTCTGAATGCTCATTTCCTCTGCCAAGAAAATACCACAGATGAACGTTGCAAACAGCAGCCCTGCCAAGGCTCACATCTGCACACACTCAGACACGGTTTGTCTCTGCTTTTAGTCCTTTCTGGCAAACCTGAAAATGCTCATAACCTGAGGAGTGTTCCTGCCCCCAGTGCTGCTGCTGCTGCCACCTGGAACACACCTGTCCCTGCTGGAACCAGGAGCCCAACTACAGCTCTGTGAATTCCCAGATATCCCTGAATCCCAGAGTGGTTTGGGTTGGAAGGGACCTTAAAGCTCATCCAGTGCCACCCCCTGCCATGGGCAGGGACACCTTCCACCAGCCCAGGTTGCTCCAAGCCCCGTCCAACCTGGCCTTGGACACTTCCAGGGATGGGGCAGCCACAGCTTCTCTGGGCAACCTGTGCCAGCATCTCCCCACCCTCCCAGGGAAGGAATTCTTCCTAATGTGGCTCAAGACAGAGCAGAAAATTATCTTAAAACTTCACACACAAAGCAGAAAAACAAAAAAAAAGCATGTTGACAATCCTAAAGCTGCCCTGGGAATCTCCAAAGAACACCAACCCTGATGAAGCCTGAAGTGTTAAGGGATTGCTCAGGAACTACTATTACAATAAACAATGTAGTAGCCTCAAAGCCGAGATTTTTAAGCAGCAGAAAATTAAAGACCTCAATAAATTATGTGTCCCTAAGTATTGAAAAGCTGCCTAGAAATACCAAGCAATATTTCAATGTTCAGTGTGCTTGTAATGAAAACTGTCCCTCTGTTTCTGCCCCTCACTCTCCTCCTTTCCATCCCCACAGCAGCAGGACTATGGGGAGGGAAATACCATCGGAATCCTGCATCTCCTTCCACCCCTTTTAGCTTTTATTTTTCTTTTCACTTAAGTAGGAACCATTTCTTTTGTATTTCCTCATGCTCACATGAGCAACAGTCCACAGTAACACAAAGCAATCCACGCAGAAGTCAACATTACTCACAAAGGAGATCAGAGGAATCAGATCCCTCACTTGAGAATGGACTGACCTTCAGAAAATCTGGACAGTCAGATGTTCCACGCCTAAACACTGAAATTCAGCTTCCCATTGGACTTTTAAGCAATCTTCACAGAATTGGCAGGGAAAAAAAGTAAATTTGGAGAACAAATTTTTTTTCCCCTATTGCCCTAAATTTCAAGGTAACAAGATCTGGTAGAAAAATAAAAAGATTTTAAAAAAAAACAAGTTTCAAGGCTCATACTGTTATTAAGATGCTTCCCTTCCCCCCCCTCCTTGGATAAAATCTCCTCCATCAAAGTTCTGTGGACTGTAATGGGATCAGGATTTGAGCTAAGTTAGCTGAAACTGTTACTTTTGAGCTTTAAATGGAGGATGCCCTTTAAGCTGCTTTGACTTTTGCACCTTGTGGCCAATTTCCACAGCTCTGCATTTGGAAGACAGAAAGGAAGCAGAATGGGAAAGGGAGATTTGAAGGTAATGCCAGGTATTTTCACATGTCTGTGAAAGACTTTTCAACAGAGATACTTTTTCCTTTTCCCCTCCTATCTTTTACTCAACATGTGCTCTTCAGATTAGAGGCTATTATAGGGATGTAGGTTAAATAAAAAAAAAATAAATTCAATAGCAGTTAATATAGCTGAAAATTAGCAAATTTTTTGAAAAATAGAAAAAAATCCAACAAATAAAAAACCCCCAGTATTTCTGACAGAAATGACAATTCAAGACTATTAAAGATATTGCCCTATGAAGGATTATTTGTAACTTTAATTTGAGGATGTAAAGAAGTTAACTTTTCTTTTGCTATACTACACATGTAAAAAAAAAAAGATCAAAGAAAGAAAAGAATTGAGATTCAAATTCCATTTTTAAGCAAAAATGACAATGTCTTCCTGAGTTAAAATTAATCCTTTAATGATGAATTTCAAAGGTTTAAATACTTTCTGTGACCTTGGCTTTAAATAATTATGCCAAGCGGAGCTTTCCTTACATTCAGAAAAGATTCTGAATTGTTGATCACAGCCATTTTAATGGCTTCAGCCTGGCTGATTTCCAACATAATCCCCCCAATGCTCTTTAAAATTACAGACCAAGAACCTGACGCAGGTAAATGAAATGTCACTTGCACAAAGGCTGCTCAAACAGTCTCTGCAGATGGTTAATTTGTGCCACTGCACATCCCTTTGCAAGAAAACGTACGATTTCGTGCATTAATGGGTATAAAAGATACTTCAACAACTATCTCCTTACACACACACAGTGTCTATATAAATATTAAGTAGGGTTTTTTTTTTGGTTTAGCTTTTGAAATAAAACTCTCATGTTTTAGCTCCCTAATGGGGGGAAATACTTGAATTCAAGGCAGGGGTGCTCAGCAAGCACAGACGTGGGCAGTGACCCCACGGAACAGGATGGGGAGGGAAACCTTGATGGATCTGAAACATAAATTTCTATTTTCAAGCATTTCCCAGAGTCCTTGCTCACTTGATGCACACAGGCAATATTAGACCAGCCATCATTAGCAACCAGATTCAATCTCCCTGCAGTTCTAGCCTGAGATTTTTGCCTCCTCAGGAACTTACCTTCTTTTAAAGGGAGAAGAAGCTTGGTTAGGCTGAACCACCCTTTCTACTCTCTGTTCCAGCCAAGAAAAAGTGATCAGCCTGGTCCTTGGCTGGCTTTACCTGTGAAATCACCTGTGTTTTTAAAGTCCTGCTGGCTCCCAAGCACCTCAGGGCACCTTCCACCCATGCCCCCTGGGTGCTGCCCAGGGCTGGAGGTGTTCCCAGGGATCAGATCACAGCAAAGGTTTTCATTACAGAACCACACAGGGCAAATCCACAGCAGACATCCGTTTTTCCAACTCAGGTGACTCCTAAACATCTCCCCCCAAGGGAAGCTTTGCTTTAGCTGACTTTTGGGGTGACTGCTCCCCTTTTCTCCATCGCCCCCAAAGCTGCCCCGTGAGACTCTCTCTTACCTTGTCCAAGACCTTCTCCGTCTCAGCTGCGTGCCTCTTTTTCAGGTCTAAGATCATTTTTTCTGTCTCCATCTTCATCTTATTCACTGCTGCCTCCTTCTCTCGAGCTGCCTTCAGCTTCTCCTTGTCCCTCTGACAGCTCAGGTCCAGCAGCTGCTGGTTCCGCAGAGAGTTCGCCTGAATGAGCTCTTCCCTCAGCCTGAGGATTTGGTTCTCCAGGTTGCAGATGACCTGTGAGAAAGAACCAACAAAGTGAGAAAACCCAAACCCAAAGAACAAAAACCACTGGGTTTTCTTAGAAGGGGTGTTAGCAGCACTCAAAGGATGCTCTATCCCTTCTCCTGGCCTCTCTTCCTTTTCTCTTCGTGCCTGCAGATGAGCACAGCTCTCACCGCCCAAAGCATTGGCAAAACTGACATTTTTGGAGGGGGTGCCCCCATGGGTGAAGAAATTTAGTTTGTGGCATATAATCACTGTAACTTCTATCCATGCTTTCTTTTATTATCCTTAAGAAATGACCTGCCCCCTTCTAATGAGCCATCAGTGTATCATCAATCATTTATCAATGGCTCCCAGACTCTGATGTAGGAACACAAAAGGCTGAAGAATCAAAATGATAAGAGGTAAAACTGTGCTACTCCTCATTATACAGAATACACTCTGTCATTACACAGTAGTTGTAGATACACATTTATTACTTCAGGTGTACCCTTGCACATAACTCTTATTAGAGTTACTTTTCTAACTCAATTTCTTCCACAGGCTCTCAACCAAAGCACAAGAGTATCACATCTGAGACATCAACCACTGTCCGTACAGAAAAGTGGGATGGATGATGCTGCAAGCACATGCATGTTTTCATTCACAAATATAATTCTGAAAATTAGCATTTTCACTGAAACCTCACGCATTTGTTTCCCCTTCTTTCCTCCTGCTTCACAAGTAAGTTTGCAGTTCCCTGGAATTCCATCACAGAGGGTGAGACAATACTGAGATGAGAAACTGATGTTCTACCAAACAAATGCAGGTGACTCAGCTCAAGCTTATTAAAGATTTCACAAAAAAATCTGATGAAATCTAGTGTATATTTAAAGTTTCCATTGCCCTGGAATGCCAGAATACTGATTCTAGAGCTCTGGGCTTGTCTTTCTTTCCAACTGCTATTTTTCTTCTTTAGATATTTTTAATACACTGTCTGTACTCAGTTAAACCATTTATTTGCAGTCTCTGAGAACCACATTACTACAAAACTCTGAAAAAGAAACATTCATTTCTGACCAAAGTTGGGACATGAACGACTATCAGATCTATTGCCTTGAACATTAATCTCCCAAGACAGATTGTTATAAATACTGTGATCTGAGAGAGAAGGGGGGGGAAAAAAAAATCAAGGCTTGAAAGTTTGCCTGTTTTCCCAGCTATTTGAACTGTATGGTGTAACAAAGACATCATCTCCCTTCAAACCTTCAGCTTGTCCTTCAGCTACCACAGCTGTAACATGCATGAAATAATATTAACCCCCTCAGAAACTTATTTTGCCTCCATGCTTTCTTAATTACTCACTGGCATTACTCCCTACTGTGTCAAAGGTAAAACTGTGTGTATGGCAGGGAAGGAATGAGCACGTCATTTGTATACAGAACTCCAGCACAGGCCACATATTTCAGCTCTATCAGCATTATCTCAAACATATGTTTCATATAGTGTAATCTGCACTAGATCCTTTCCTTCCTCTCCTGAGCTTTTCCTCTACACATGTTTAATTTCTTATTAAATCCGTATACAGACTAAAAAAAAAACGTAAAGCACATTTGAGTCTGTAATTATAATCCACAATGTGCTTTTATCATTCTTTCGGAAAATTATTTCATCTCAAGATCACAAAAACACGACGGCCCGTCTGGCTTTTCCTTAGCCAGAGAAACACTAACTCAGTGAAGATAATAACTACAATTTCTGTTGGATGATACAGCCTGAGTTCCAAACTGACATACACAGCATTTGGGTTTTTCAACAGCTGTCCCAGTGCAAGTCCTGCCTGGAATAATCACAATTATCTTTTAATCTGTGGGAGCTCCTTTTGAGAGCTCATTCCCCCACCATTACCACTTTCCTTCTGGGTTTTTTTTCCCCCCTTCTTTCTTTTTTAAAATAAAAAACTTCCTTTAACTACACCCTCCCACACACACATAAGTGAAACTAAGATATTACATTGCTCAGAAGTTCCCTAAAGGGTTTGTTAAAATATTTAGGATAAGAAACCAAGGTTAACTTTTTATAATATAGGGAGAATTCATCCATGAATGATATTATGAGCCAAAATAAAGGCTGGGCGAAATCTTGAGTCAATTGTTACGTCTTTTCTGCTTTACTTCATTCTTTATTCAGCAATTCTTATAAAAAAAGTCAGTAGAAAATGCACTGGCACAATACAGCATTTTCTAGTGCCAGAAGGAGAAAGGACCAGCTCCCAGCCCTCAGATCCAAAATGGGGAGCCAGCTGACAGTGGGGCCGAGTGTTATAGGTAAAGTAACAGTAATTAATATGCAAAGGAGCATTAATATTGGACCTAATAGATGGCAAAAGCAGATTTGGTTCTATTAGGAGAGAAGAAAGACTCTGGAGACGGGGTGATGGCAGCGAAACTAATATGATTAAAGGAGTCCCTTTGGAGCAACTTCACTGCCAGTAAGATGATGTTAAGAGACATCTAATCTCCCCAAAGTGACTGGAAAAAGCTTATATTGGGGATCACAGCCACAGTTCTTGTCAATTACTTTCAAATAAGTCCAGTTCTCACAGCCAGATTAGGTTTTCCCATAAACAAAGTCAGTGGCAGGAGCAGATTACACCCGAACAACTTACTGCCTCCGACAGCCCTGGGTGACACGAGATCTTCGAGCGCTGGAGGAAATGAATCCCGAACTTTCCAGCACTAAGACTCTGCCATTCCACATGCCAGGTTTAATAAACTATTATTAGACTTAAATGTAGGCAAATTAGGAAAAAAAACCAAAACAACCAAAACCCAAGATGACTTAATTCTCAGTTGTGAAAAATCCGTGAAATATAAAACTTATGAGCAACTGTCTTTTCCTAATGATTCTGGGAGAAAACAAGAGCTGCAGTTACAAAATCTCACTTCTCATGCCTGAGATCCAAAGGCACAAGGCTTGCTTGGTTTCTTTGGAAAACTGAAGCCTCTTTCTCAATATTGGTTTCTTAAATTTTTCCCTGGTTGCTCTGTTTGGGAACGAAGAATGGTTTGCATGGTCCAAACAACAGCTTGGGTGCAAGAGCTGCTGTGAGAAATACACATCTTAAACACTCCATCTGAGCAAGTTATTATAGTGCTAAACTGGATCAAACATAAGAAATAAAGACTCACAGTATGTAATAGGTCCAAAAAGGTTACTGCTATTTGCTTTCTTTTATGGATCAATGTGTTGGAGTATTTATTTCAGTTGTGTGGGTACAAGAACACGAAATAAAAGAGATCAGTATCTATTTTGGAAAGGATGCAGAAGTTTCCAGCAAGTCCCAGGACGGCCATGCCACAGGAACATGCCTCAAAACAAGGAAGCATTTTGTAAAATGACTATTAATCCACACACAGGACAACAAACAGAAAGACAACACCAGCTGACATAGTACCCCAAACAGAGCAGAAATACAAACACATGAACTGTGTGACAGGGCAGAGATTTCATATGAGTTTACGTGGCACACTCGTGTGTCCCATGGCTGAAGAAACTGCTGGCCAAGGTGGTGATTTCTATTTCTGTTTCAAAGCAATAACTTAGAATTCTAACTAAGAATATCTGTGCTGAAATAGTGTCATAAAAAGGGTGGGTCATAAGCCCACAGCAATTTGCCTGTAGGGAAAAAATAGACTTGAAAGAAAAAGAAGAAGGTTGGTCACTCACTTTGGCCTATTTAAAACGCCAATAAATGTACCGCGTGTTATTTGGAAGGAAAACATGTGCTCTTAATTTTAAAAAGTAAATTGCATAAGAAAATATAAAGCTGGCAAAAAAGTTGAAATGAAAATCTGTTGGTGATGTCTGAAACCGCAACAGTTACGTGCAACGGAGACGAGAAACGGGCCTGATGACTATGGGTTAATTAAAACCAATAATAATACACTTTGCCTTTATTTTTCAGGAGCTCCCTCTTCACCCCCATGAAGAAACTGATCCTTGGATCAGTTTCTGAGGAAGAGGCTGGAGCATGACCACATCTTCACACTCACAGCCACGGAATACACGGCCCGCTCTGCCTCCCTCCTGAGGCATTACACACCAAACCACATCCACCCCATCACCACACGCAGCTTCAAACAGTCCCAAGGGCACTTCAGAGTCACAAAAACAAGGCAATGGAGAGTTCAGATCAAATCCACCCCTGACCTATTCCCCAAGGCTCGGATCTGCAGCCATTTAGGTGTTGTTTCAGCGGATTTACAGTAAGTGACTAACATCTACCAGCAGATGAAGCTGCAATAACCCTCAGTGCTCTTTGCTGCTGAGTGCACTCAGGCTGCTCAAACAGTGCACTCAGCTGCCTAAACACCACAGCATTTCTCTGGTGGCTCATGATAACTCTTCAAACTCAGTTTCAGATGTTTTCTGCACTGGGTTAACTTGGCTCGAGTCGGAGATGACCGCATTGGGCTCAGTTTGTTGAGTTTAATGTTGCATGCAACATTTTAAAAACCCACAACAAAACCCCCAAGAACCTTTGAGCAGTGCTGTGGCCTTAGCTCTGAGGTTGGAGCATCACAAAGATCCTTCCTAGGACAATAACCTAAAATATTAGCCTGGAAGAGCCCTATTTGACCCACCAACATGCAGCTTCTGCCTCTGAGTGCCAAGACCTTCTCAGCATTTCCTCGTGTGGAAGAATATTCAAATGAGCAGTGTGTGCTGGGAACCATCAGCTGGACCTTCTGAAAGGGAGATTTGTCTCTGTGTGTCTCGTTCTGCTGATGTGACAGCGATGGATGAGGTATCCATAACATTCCTTATTGGGCACTGGATTATTTTTGAAAGGAGATCAGTCCAGTCCAGGGAAAGGAAGTCTGTAGTAAAAACAAATCTCACTTTGATGATGAAGAATTAAAAGGAAAATAAGGAAGAAAGTAGAAACACCCAGTGATTCAGTGGTGACAGTGAGTCTCTTTTTACCCAGGACCAGTGCAATGTCCCAGAAGAGGTGGATGAAGTGTCCC